CATTCAGAGACTCTGGATCTGGGGACTTAGGTTCGAATCCTGCCATTGCAGATGGTGGAGTTTGAATTCAATAAATACCTGCAGTTAAGAGTTTAACGATGATCATGAAACCATTGTTGATTGTCAGAAAAGCACATCTGGTTCACTGCTGTCCTTGTCTGGTCTAAGCTACAAAAGAAAGCATTATTATAGTTTAGGTATAATTAAACAGACTGGGTAAGGAAAACACAGATAGTTAGAATAAAAGTGCCACAGTAAATGAGGTCCATGCAAAGAATAATGGCAAAAATTAAAAATAAAAACTCTATCTGACTGTGAAAAGCAGTCATAACAATTAGACAAATGGGAGGCACAAAGAGAGATTAATTGATGGTTCTAATAGCCATTACAGAGACTGAATAGGGCTGAGTTGGTAGATCTAATCGATTTTGAGAAGATTTGTAGCTCGGGTTCTGGATGAGGTTGTAGACATGCTCGCCGAGCCGGTGAGTTTGGCTGCAAACGTTTCGTCACCCTGCTATGTAACATTGTCAGTGTGCCTCCGGTGAAGCATCGGTGTTCCGTCCTGCTTGTCATTTATACGCTGGGGTGGTTGGTATTACTTACAGTTTTGGTTCTTAGTGGTTTGTAAACAGGGTCTAATTCAATGTATTTGCTGATGGAGTTCCGGATGGAATATCAGGCCGCCAGGAATTCCCTGGATTGTCTCTGTTTGGCTTGTGCGATTATCCATGTGTTATCCCAGTCGAATTCATGTCCCTTGTTTTCCGTGTGTAATGAGACAAGTGAGAATTGGTCGTGTCTCTTGGTGGCTGGTTGCTGTTCATGTAGCCATATTGAACACCAACTAGCCACCAAGAGACACAACCAATTCTCACTTGTCTCACTACACACGGACAACGAGGGACATGAATTCGACAGGGATAACACATGGATAATCGCACAAGCCAGAGACCCTCCAGGGAATTCCTGGAGGCCTAGTATTCCAACCAGAACTCCATCAACAAACACATTGAATTAGACCCTGTGTACAAACCACTGAGAAACAAAACGAGAAGTAATACCAGCCACCCCAGCAAACCGAGGCATATAAATAACAAGGGGAACGGAACATCGACACTTCACCAGAGATGCACTGGCAATGTTACTCGGCAGGGTGACAAAACGTTTGCAACCAAACTCACCGGCTTGGCGAGCATGTCTACAGCCTCAGATCTTATAGATTGAATGGGGCTGTGTTTTTAACTCCCTGACAGGAATGGGTGGCTGTTGAGGAGGGGTTGCATCATTTCACATTACAGATGGTGTGGCAGCATACAATCTCAGCCCATTTCCCTGATCCAGGATTGGATGAAGCAGAACTACATGCCTACAAATGGGGATACAGCTCATTTACATGACTGAATGGACTATTAAAACATATTGTAAGAGACCAACCAGAATTTTCCAACCAGCCTGCAGGCACCAAGAGACATTTGAGAACAGTGGAGGCACGTTGAGGGAACATCCCATTGGAAATTCATTAGGAATGCACTTCAGGCAGACTTTGAGGGCCTCCCCGCCTCTATGGCATCAGCCTCAGCTCTTGCCCTTTAGAGGATTTCCCATTCCATCATACCAGCCCTGCTACTGATTCCAATTTTCGTTTAAAATGTTAAAATGCTGGAGAGAAGGCACTTCAAAATGGTGCCACTCCCCATCTTACTTAGATGAAAAGGCAACATGTTGGAAACAATCGTTAAATTAGTCTTAATGATGTGCTTAAAAAATTATAGTGAGATCAGACAGAGTTAACATTGTTTCGTGAAAGAAAAAATGATGTTTGGCATATTCACTTAAAAACAGATTTAATAATTGCTCATAATGATTAGAACTCCATATACCATCAATCACAATATATAAGTCAACTTCATGTATAACACCCTAATTTTCCAATGTACACATTTAGGGCTATATTCCTATTAGAAGTAGGCTTCACGTTTTCAGCTCTGAAATACTGCTGCTGCCTGTAGTTACTCCTGCCAGGGGATCTGCTGTCATTGTATGCCATTGTCATCTGCAAACACTCTGTCACATTTGTCATGCAACTAGGTGGAGGTTGACCCCTCCCTCTGTTCCCCTCCAATTTACATTCTAAAAGAGATCTCTAGTTTTCAACCAAAGTACTGACCTTTTCTAAACTCTGCTTACCAGAGTTATTGTTGTACTTGCAATTTCAGGCATCACTTCATCTATTTTATGGTTTGTTCATGGCATATGTCCTAGGATCAAAGGCTTTAATGTCCTATTTTCAAAGGCCTCTAACTCTTTACTTATTCTCCAGATTTCTGAGGCATATTAGCAAAGAGGATGGAACTTAGCATCTTATGAGTTTTTATTTTCTTCGTTACAAACTTGAGTTTTCTTGTTACTAACACATCCTTCATTTCATAGAAATCACTTCTACCATCACATATGCTATCTTCTGGTATGATTTTTCCAATTCAATAGGCAATGATCATGATCATGATCATGATGAAGGGAAAATCATAAAACCAGAAGTGTGACATCATATTCAGAGTAGCTCCCGACGATAGTGCCAAAGTGACTCAGAATAAATGCAGTGAATTTTTTGAGTTGAATTTAGAATGTAATGAATTTGACAGATTTTAAAGTGTTCTAATAATGTTCAAACAGTTGTCATGAACAGAACTTGTATTTTATTATTGTCTATAAGTAAAGCCTTTTTATGCGTAGTTTCCTGACCCTCAGGGTGCGTTGCCCTAATTCAGAAAAAATTCCAGCAATAGATGTTGTGAATATAAAATAGGATGTTTATTTATCACACACTTGTCTGGATGTTAAAGAAAATGCAACATCTCCCTTATTCAATTTCCACACACTGTCACACACAACTAGATGAAATAAACAATATAGTTATAAAAGATCGTTTATTTCAATCTCTCTTTCAAGCAAACCTGTGGGTTCATGGTTGAGTTGATGCTCTGTGATGGTCTTCATCAACAGAGGTATTTCAGAAAGCTATAAGACTTGTAGTTTACTTACAAATGGGTTGATATATCACATGATTTTGAAGTTGGTACAGGGTGGAGGAGAGTCCATTTTCCATGCTTAAGGTATTGCTGTTTATTACTCTGGCTCCTCCGTTGATTGCAGCTGATCCAGTGACTTCTCATGGAAGGATCACCGGACCCGAAACATTAAGGTGATTTTTTTTCTTCACAGATGCTGCCAAACCTTCTGAGCTATTCCAGCAACTTCTGTTTTTGTTCCTGATTTACAGCATCCGCAGTTCTTTCGGTTTTTATTGACTTCTGATGGTCTCTTTGTTGGATTTTTGATGATATCCTGACTGTAATGGTCTGGCTTCTTTTAAAAAAAATTTGGAAAAGATGACTTTCTTACCCATGTGAACTTGTAACAAGTGCTGAGACAATTTTCAAATAAGGTTAAGTAGGCATCCTGTATTTGAGGCTTTCCACACCTTAATGTTTGAACAGGTAGTACCTTTGTGTTTGGAGGAGAACCATCATAACACAATGAAATGTCAATAGGTTCATTTACATTCTCTAACACGCATTAAGCATACTTGAATGCCGAACCTTGTGCTTATGTTTCTACACATTCTTCACAGTTTCCTTGCTACTAGTGTTGTGGTGTTATACTGCCTTATTCATCATCTGTGTATTGCACTACAATCTGGCTTGGTCTTTGAAACCAGATTTCGTGTGTGTGTGCAATGTCCTTAATGCTACAGTCTTCATTGGGCAAAACTGGACAGCATTTGGGTCAATGTAACACACAAAATCTGTTACAGATCTTGTTGGTTCTATATACTTTGCTGACTGTAACAATGGCATTGACTGCATCTAAAGCAAATACTTGTTGATGCCTGCCAGTACTATGCCTTTAGTCTTGCATCCATCCTCAAATGGTATCAATGCTATGACTCTTTCTCTTGCCTATACAATCCTTTCTGAAATTGATGACTAATTCACTGAGCTTATCTGATGTTTGCTCTTCCTGTAAACGGCTCAGTTGACTCAGGGTTGCTGTCTCTCTGGGATGAGTTAGAATTTTTTGATTCTGAAGTAAATTCTTGCCTTGAACCGGTCTTCGAGAACTTTCCAGATCTTTTCTAGATCTTTCTGATTGTTATATTTTAATTCATTCATGGGATGGAGGCATCACTGGTTAGGCCAAGATTTATTGACTATCTGTAATTGCTCTGAGGGCAGTTAAGAGTCAACCACATTTTTGTGGGTCTGGAGTCCAGAAGAGACCATGTAGACCAGAAGAGGTAAGAATGGCAGTTTCCTTTCCTAAAGGATATTAGTGAACCAGATGGTATTTTTTTCCCAACAATTGACAGTGGAATCATGGTCATTGCCTCCCCTACGTTCACAGAAAGGCTCAATGTATTAATTCTGTTAAATCCTTCCTTGCTGATAGCAAGTTTGTTTTTTTGATCATCTATTGCTTCACCTGTAAAATAGAACTGCGTATGTTGTTTGCTCGGTTGTAATTCGGTTCAGGTGTTACTGGATGTCCAATATATAATTAAGGGTGTGGCTTCCATTTCTCTTTGGAGGTCTTTGTTTTGTTTTTAGAAGTAGAGTGCATTTATCTTTTATTTATCTTTTACTGGTTTTGCTTCACTCTTATTTTTCTCTTTTTGATGCTTTTGTTTCCCTTTGTTTCTCTTGGTGCACTTAGTGGCCTTAGTCCCTTGAAGAGAGTTGCTTCGAGAATAACAGGTTTTCGATCAAACAATGCGTGCTTTTAGTTGTACATCTCTGTTTCTAGGTGGCAATTAAGATGTCATGCGTTCTTTCTCTAAATCAATTTCAAAATAAATGAACTCTTGAAAGGGCGAAGCACCCAAAATTGCTCTGCCTTACAGATTAAGTATGGTGTTGGATATAAAAGGTTTCATCTCCACTGGGAACGAGTCCTCCTCATCACAAAATGACAGATCTCTTCCATAGACAACCCCTTAGACCCGGTAAAGTTTGGAGGCCGGTGGAGATTCAGAAGGATATAGATAGTGAAATAGGCAAACACATGACAGATAAAATTCAGCACAGAAATCCGAAATGATATGCTTGATAGGAATAATGCCAAGAGTCAATATAAATCAAATAATATAACTTTAAAGTCAAATCAGCAACCTGGAGGTGAGTGTATACCAGTCTTTGAAGGTGATAAATGAAGTAGGCTGGTGAAAAAACAATTTTTATATTTATAAACAAAGCAAAAGTGCAAAAAGCAAGGATGTTTTACTAAACCATTATAATTCACTAGTTAGGTGGCCGCTAGAGTATCGTGGTACTCATTCGAGCAAAGAACTTGCTTCATTATCTATATACCTCTATGGTGTCCTTCTCATCTGATTCTATCTTCATCTTACTACACAGCGTTCCCAAAACAACTTTCTTCTGCTGAATATCCCAGAATTTACCTGCTTCACTGGCCACCCAGACACAGTTCATACCATTTGCTGCAGACATGACAGACAAGGGAAATTAGGCTTCCCACTTTGCTCAGGGATCTCTTAAAGATCGCTGAATCATTTAGCTATTGCGTAAATGCCATCCTTAATTGACAATTCTAGCCTTTCACCTGTGCTTTGCTTTCTATTCATCTTGAATAACATATACCCTGCAATAATCAGGACACAATCCTTATCATCCAGCAACGCTGTATCTGTATTAGCAATCAGAGCATATTTATTTACTTCAATGTGGAATATCAGTTAATTTACTTTATTATTTTTGCAATGCACATTCATATACAGATCCATTAGTTCTGTCTTTTTTGCTACCTTTGTTACATCTAGTCTTGATTATTCGTATACTCCTAGGATTTTCTTCTTTCTCAGTCCCTTCTTGCCATTCTTTGACCATCATTTCCCATGTTTCCCTCTCTTACTTTGTCTCTCCTCTTTGTTATGCAACATCTTTCCACATTTATCCCTTTCCCCTTCTTTTTACTTTAAAACCCTGGCGACTTCCCTTCTCGGATAATGGTACTGCATTAATTGCCTTCCAATCCTTTGGCACCTCTCCCGCGGTCAGAGAGGGTTTGAAAATGAACATCAGATCCCCTGAAACCTCAGCCTTTGCTTCCTACAGCAACCTGGGATGAATCTCATCTGAGCCTGATAATTCACCTACTTTTAAACCCATCAAAACTGTCAATACCTCAGCCCTCTCAATGCTATTTTGTTCAATTATGTTACAGTTCCGCATCCTGATTTTTATACCAACATCATCCTTCTCTGTTGTGAATACAGATGCAAAGTGTTGATTTAAAACCTCACCCATGTCTTCTGATTCCATACTCCGTTTGTGACTTTGGTGCCTAATGAGTTATTTTCTGGTTATCCCCCTGCCTTTAATATATTTGAATGGCTCTCATTGCTCTGATGTTGATTTTCCTACATGTGGATCCTTCTCACCCACTTTGGCCAGATCCTGAGTCAAATCAAAATTGATTTTTTCCCAATTCAGAACCTTTACTTTCAGTCTAACTTTGTCCTTTTCCACAATTACCTCAAATCTTAATGAGTTATGGTCACTATCACCAAAATGCTCCCCCTTTAAATCTTTGACCACTTACCCAGCTTTGTTTCCTAAAACTATGTCCATTACTGCTCACTCTCTTGTTGGGCTTTCTATGTGCTGGCTTAAAAAAAAACTCCTCAGTACATTTTTACCAACTCCTCCAAGTCTTTCACATTTGTCTGTCCCAGTTAATATTGGGGAAGTTGAAATCCTCTACCACTATTACTGCGTTATTTTTACACTTCTCTGATATTTGCCAATATCCATTCTTCTCTCCCTCACTGTTCGGGTGCCTGTACTACATTCCCGATATGGTCATTGCCCCATTTTTTTAAAAAAATCTGTGTATATGGCCTCAATTGAGGAATCTTCTAAGACAGCGCCTTCCTTATTTAAATAATTGACTCGATTATATTGCCCCACCTCATCCCCATTTATTCCCATTATCTCACCTTAGATTATATAGCCTTGAATATTGAGCTGTCAGTCCTGTCCATCTCTAAACCTTATCTCTGTGATAGCACCATTATCCATTTGTTAATCAACACCCTTCACTCATCTGCATTACTTGAAAGACTCGTTACATTTAAATAAATGCCATCCAGCCTTTTATATTCTCTCATGCCATAGCATGAGTCTACATAGTCTGCCTTCCAGGCTGAGTTGGTTTTCTCTTCCATACTTGTCACTATTTCATTCCCTACTGTGCCTCCACTTCGTATCTCAACCCCCTGACAAATTAGTTTAACTCGCCCAGCAACAGTGCCAGCAAATTCTCCCTCCTCCCACCCCCTTATCTGGTGCCAGGTAGCCAGTACACCCTCTGAGGTTCCTTTTCTTGACTGCCGAGAATGCTTTCTATCCCCTTATTTATGAAGTGTTCTTCTCCAACCTAGGAGTGCTTTTAGAGCCATGGTGCAATAGACTTCATTGTGGTTATTTTTACTACAAGTCTTTTTCTTTATACTCACGGGTAGTGAGTAACCATTCTTGCTGTACAGGACCATTTAGTGCGAGAACCTCCGTAACATCTCCTAAATCTCTATTACCCGGCTTCTTGTCAGTCACACCCCACTTTTTCTGAGCTTTTGAACTCTTCGAGGATGTGACTGTCTTCTGGATAAATCCTCCTCCTCTGTATGTATGGGAGTGTCTCCAGCTCACACTTCAGTTCAATGACATTGGACTGGAGAGACTTTAGATGGAGATACCTCAGGCAGAGTTGTTTGCTTGGAATGGATTTGACCATCCACAAACACCCACATTCTGTAGTCCAGACATGCAATCTGCTCTGTTATAACTTAGCCTAACCTCTTTTTAGGGTAGGGTAGCTGTTAGGATCCAAGATGGTCAAATAATGAAAACCAATAAATTTAAAGAGGATGCTGGACCAGAATACTCAGACAAGTTACTGACCAAAGAGCAGAGGAAGTAACTTGAGATTTTTCCAAATTTACTAGAGATCGGAACAATGACCAAAAAATGGAGCATGGTAAATTTTATACAAAAAGGTGAGAAAGGTAAACTCGGAACTATCGGCCAGTTAGCTTTTGAATTAAAATCAAAATGCATTGTACAACAAGTGACCAGTCAGGTTATTGCTTAAGCAGTGATGTTGAAAAATACTCCCCATCATTTCTTACAGTTGGTGAATAGGCTGGGAAAATGTTACAAGAGAGTAAGTGGGATTTAGAAGGATTACATTAAGTTTGATCAAATGCAAAAATGCAGGCATGATCTCTCACCCTAAAGTTGGGATGCACTGGAATTTCATATGTACATTTGAACTTGCTGTGGATATAAAAATCACGCAAAAGTGAAGGGTAAGTTTATCAGAATTATGCCAGGGTGAAACAATTGCAGCTGTAGCTTGTGGACATGAAGGTATTGAAGATTTGATAGATGTAGTGAAATTAAAGAAACAAAGAGAAGGTGAATAATTTCTGTTGACTGCAATGTCTAGTGAATAGAAGATGTCATGACCTCAAGAAAAGCACAGTACTGGAGATTATAAGAAACCTCTACAATTTGACAATTATCAGCATTTGGAATGATTTACCCCAAATAATGTTGCTGGTAAATTGTATAAAGCATTCAAATAGATTCTGGATAATTAATTTTGAAAGAAAATGTCAAAGGCAAAGGACAGGAGGCAGGCAAATGATACTATGAAATCTGTATTTAAGGGTCTAAATTCAGTGCTCACAGGAAACAGCTGAATGATCAATTTGTGGACTAAACTGCCTGTGTCTATGGTCTACTGCATCAGACATCATGATGCCCATGCTTGGGAAGGCTGTAACTAGAGTAGCACTTCCAGAGTTGATGAAGCTCAATGCAAATTTTATGCTTTTACAGGTAACAGAGGAGCTGCATTTCAACACTTCCAATTAACCAAGCCCAAAGAGTAACATTAGATATGTTTAATGTCTTGGAGTGTCACTGATGGTTTATAGCCAGTACTTAAACCCTCGATAAACTATCTTCGATATAGTTATTTCACCCGCTGCATGGTGGGATTTGAACTCATGACCCCAGATCTGGAGGCTAGCACTACGCCATCGCCTTCCCTCAAGGGCCACACACTTGTATTCTCATGTTTGAAGCGACAGCTCTCCCCAGTTTTGGGCTCCAGCTGTCAATCAACAAAGAAGCTCGACTTCCATTGGATAGCACCTGTCCTTTCCCTCCTTGAAGAGTCTATTACCACGATGGAACCTTCGCTGCAGGAGCCTGCATCAGGCTGGGCCAGAGATTCTGGTTCCTGAGGGTTGCCACTCCCTCACCATCAGGAGAGGTACAACAATCTTCAAGACTTGGCACCTCCCCAGTACCTGCTGCAGACTGTCTAAACATCCCAAGGCCAGTGCAGAGCGGGGATGGCTGCTATCCGACTCAATCAAGACCTCAGTGCTAGTTCTGTTCATTTATATTACCTTGTGAGGAAGGATGTTGTTAAACTAGAAAGGATGCAGAAAAAAAAATTACAAGGATGTTGCCTGGAAGGTTTGAGTTATAAGGAGAGGCTTGTTAGGCTGGGACTTCTTTCAACAGAGCGTCGGAAGCTGAGGGGTGACCTTATGGAGGTTTATAAAATCATGAGGGGCATGGATTGGGTGAATAGCCAAGATATTTTTCCTAGGGTAGGGGAGTCCAAAACTAGAGGATATAGGTTTAAGGTGAGAGGGGAAAGATTTAAAAGGGACTTAAGGGGTAACCTTTTCCACTCAGAGGGTGGTGCGTGTATGGAATGAGCTGCCAGAGGAAGTGTAGAGGTGGGAACAATTACAAAGTTTAAAAGACATTTAAAGGAAAGATTTAGAGGGATTTGGGCCAAATGCAGGCAAATGGGACTAGTTCAGTTTCGGATACCAGATCGACATGGACGAGTTGGAATGAAGGATCTGTTTCCGTGCTGTATGACTCTATGACTACATAAATTGAATTATCATATCA